CCGCACCATCTTGCTTTTTGTGGCTGAGTAGTGAAATCGAGATTTGCCCGTTGCTCCAGTGTACGTAGAAAGCCTTGGGTGAGTGAACATCTTCAAAGCTGCGAGCTCGAACCAACTCGTACTTGTACTCTTGGAGGGCTCAAACTTTAATGATCAGTCTTCAAAGCCAATTGACTGATTTTGAAGTGGTCCCAGTGATCACTCAGAAGCTCTCTGAGAAGCAATCAGGGCAAGGTGGAGCCTTGCAGGGCGAAGTGCCTAATACTGATTTCGGGTCGCAGGCACACGCATTTGAGACCCGAGGCACTGCTACGTGGGCATGGGCAAGCTGGATGCTGCCTTGGCGGACATCGAGTCCATCATTTGCCAGCAAGGTGGGGTGCCACAGGGTCTTGCGCGTCAATTTGGGCAGGGCTCCTAAGATACATGTTGCAACCATTTGAAACATGGTGTTTTTTTCTCCCCAAAATAAAGGGACACCACCATTTACAACGCAATGTTCAGGTGTACAATGTAAGGATCCCTGTTGGGGGACGCAAGATATCTTGGCTGATTGACATCCCTTTGCCAGGTGGTGTCCGGTATCTTTTTGAAGGCAGGTTGTTGGTTCTGAAGCTCAGCGGCACAGAGTCTTGGTTTCCGAAAGAGCCGTCAGGCGGAGCCGACAGCTTCGATGCGCGCAAGTGGCACAAGGCGGGCTTTCGATGTTAAGAGCTTGGAGAGTGTAACTTCAACGCATAGCACATCCTGAGCAACAACACACCCAGACCGAAAGTTTCTCGTAGTTTGCGCGCGGGGTCTTGGAGCGCGCGCGGCCCCAGGCTCGAACCAGGCTCGGCCGGCGCATGTTGAGGGTTAGAAAGCTACGCAAAGTACACTTTCGCAGCTCCAAAAGTTGGGTTCAGCGCTGCATGCAGAGAACTTGTTTGGAACTTGCTTAGAGATCTTGCTCGGAGAGCTGCGTGCAGATAAACTTGCGCATAGAGCTTGCTTAGAGAACTCGCGCAAGGAGCTTGCGCACAGAAACTTGCTTAGAGAACTCGCGCAAGGATCTTGCGCACCGAAACTTGCTGAGAGAACTTGCTACGATAATTTCGCAGAGGCACTGGCTCGGAAAATTTGCTGAGATAATTTGCTACGATATTTTTGTAGAGGAACTGGCTAAAAAAAACTCAAAGAACTTTGTGCAGAGCCACTTGCGTAGAGAACATGCTCAGAGATCTTGCTTACAGAACTTGCTCAGAGACAAGAATCAGGTCATGCTCTTGTGCTGTGTTGTGACGACATGCTCTTGCATATAGCTCGGTCTAGTTAAAGACTCACGGCGGTGCACTGGGCAAAGCTACAGTAGAAAAGGGCCCCCCTATTCTGCGAAACGCGGGCGGGCACGTCAAGCACTACTTGTTGGCGGAAGCTCGGTGAGAGAACGAACCATAGGCGAACGCATTCCCCGACCAAATGAGTGGATAAGAAACCACATGGTTTCTGAGCACCATCAAGCTCACTCAACACGGCTTATGATCGATCGTTGATGCCCAAATCCACACCAGCTCTTCTGAAGTGCAACGGGTGGTTCTTTGTTGCTTGTACGAAGTGCTCGATTGCACACGACCAACTCGATCTTCAAGCCCCAACCCAGAACCAGAACGAAGACGCATTCGCAGTTTGCTAATTAACAACGACAAAGGTTCGGCCACGATCTTTGCGACCAACCAGCTCATTGTGCAGTTCGAGCTCCAAGCAATCATATCCAAGGGATCCATGGATTCGCCAGTTGCTTGCAGGGTCTTGCGTGAACCTGGTTTGACCAGACTGATGTCGAGACTCATCAGAACATGGAACCCAGTCGTTGACCTGAGTTGATTGCTTACCAATTGCGGCTAAACTCAGACCAATGCCCACATGTCGTCTCGCCAAGAGCCCAAACTTGACGACGCACGCCTCCAAATCAGCTCTCCAAATTGGATTGCTTTTGCTTTCCCCTTTACTGCAGGGGTCCCTCAACTCTTGTCATGCGGTGACCCAGACCGCCTCCCTTAAAACTTGGGCGGCGTGTCCTCTCTTTGGCAGCGATCAGAGGAAGCCAAAGCAGAACGGCTAAGCTTTTTTTGCGGGGGTCCTTCTCGTTGGGTTTTTGGGATGGGTTTTTCTGCTGGCCGTTCGGATCACCTTAGGTCTGGATGAGCCGTGGCGGCATACACCGGAAGCTGGCGCAGCTGGCGGTGGGCGCGGCCGAAAGGGACCGGCTCTTTGCGCAGGCAGATTGAGCACGTGCGGCACCGTTCGGCACGCACCGTAGGTGTTCTTTGTCAAGTTTGATCAGCTTGGTTGTGATTTGGATGGCCTGGTGTCGATCGTTTTTGTCAGTGCCACTAAAGTGTCCAAAAGAGGCCATATGCTCTGGGCTCCATTGAAGTGGTTTCAGAATGATTTTTTGGGCGGGGAACATTTGTAAGCCACATTTTGGAGGCTAGTGGTTAGGATGCCGCTTCAATGGACCCAGTTTGTTGGGGCCGAGTCCCCTTTCGGTTATTTTTTTGGAGGCGCACCAAGGGAAACTCACCATCTTTTTATGAGGGTCTGTTTGAAGCTTAAGCGGTGCACTGTTCAGAGAAACATCGTGAACCTGACCTGAGTTGTTGGTTCATTCTGCTTCACTTTACCTGCGTATCGAAGTAAATCACACATTTCCGTTCGGTCGACCTTTGTGTTCGATGTTGTTGTCGGGTTTGTTCTCTGATTCCTGATGACCTGGCTTACTCCCCAGACGGGACAGATAATGGAACAGATGTGCCCTCATCCTGCCACTCTGCAGCTGTTGATCATGCTGGAGTCGCCTCATCATGGACTAGCTTGAGGACTGCAAGAGGCTTTCATGGAAACTCCAAAGCTACCTGCGCAGGGATTTTGATGGCCTCAGCCAGTGCACGTGATCCCATCCACTTTGTTTTGAAAAGACACGGGCATCGTGGTCCTCCGTTCCACTGTTTCTGGGGGTGAATTTGCTTACGAGGCCAGAGCCGACTACGAGCACGTACTAGCCATTCAGTGCCTCAGCTCAAATCAGTCCTTGCGGCTCCAATGTCAAATGAACAAAAATCGTGAATCTGATGGGGTTCAGGCACGATGATTCAGGAGAGGTCCTGTTGTCTTGGGCTTGGGAGGCACAACCCTGTTGAGTCTTGCCACTGGACGGCTCGACTTTCAAGAGGCATATTCTTCAAACTTCCCATCCTCGGCTTGCCCTCCATCCTCTTACCAGCTTTCACCAATGTGAAGAGGACATTTTGTTGACATATATTTGAAGAGGCAAGCGCGTGATTTGTGACTGCAACGGGATTTCCGGTCTTGCCCTTTTTCACTTTCTTTGCTTCAATCCCTCCTCACCTGGAATCTCTTCGGAGCACGGGGGGGGGGAAGGACATGATCAGAATGGTGTGCAATCACCAAACCATCAACTGGTTCGTTGGATCTAACACCTGCTTGGATGAACTAGGGCGCCTTTTCTATGATCGAAATTTCTAGTTCCCAATGTCCAGCCACTCAGACGACCTACCGCATCGTGGGCTCGAAGCTCTGCATAGTTCCTTGGATCCTCGTAAGACATACTGTGGATGGACGAAATCCTGCACCACCTAAGAAACCCTGGAATGATGATCCCCTGTAAATACCAACCAACAATGGCTTCCCATGGTCGCAAAGTGGTGCAGGTTTTCGTCCATCCACAGTACTTTGTCAGAAGCGACCCCTCCAAATCTTCGACTTGTTCCTTCTTCTTAAGGAGCCGACTGCGCCCATCAGTTGGTTATTCACATGCGAGCGCTAAAACCTAGGCCGCCGCACGAGGGCTATAGCGCCAAGGCGCAGCGGTGCCTACAACAACTCCGTTCCCTGGCGCAACGGAGCTTGGATGTTGGGTTTGGATTGATTTGGGCTGCTAGTCTTGTGGGTCTTGGGTATTTGTATGTCGCGCAAAGCGAGAGGGGTGTGCTCTTTTCTTTTTTTTGGAGTACCCCCCCTTGTTCGGTGGCTTCAACGGGAAACCAAGGCATCAACGATTTTGGTGGTCCCCTAAACAAGACACACAGGTCTAGGCAGATCAGAGGAAATGACATCTGCTTGGCGCTGCTCTTCAGGACAGAAATTTGTAGCGGACAGCCGTAGCGATTCCAAGCTGAGAGGGGCAGGAGTACCTTGCTGCTGTGATAGGCAGCCGTCCCCTATGGATTCCTTTAAGGGAAAATCCCCAGGTTCATGCCCTCATTCCCGGCCGAGCGCCAGCAAGTTGATAGAGGGGACAGTGAGCATTGCTTTGTGCTCCGGCAGAAAGTCCGGCTTGAAGAGTTTGCGGATTGCGGGTGGCTAAAAACTATCCGGGGTTGGAATTTTAGATTCAAATTCAGACTGTTAGTTTCCAAATTGCAAATGTTTTGGATTCTGGTCTTTGATGTTTGGCATCTTAGCATATTCATGGAAGCAAAGGTTATGGTGTTGACAACTTTTCAACGATACTTTGGTGGTTGCGGTGATCCTTCCATCCTCGCGGCGAGTCGCTGCGAGGCAAAAACCGGGATGATGGGAGGCTGCAGGTGCCTTGGTCGGCCACAGCTGGGACTTGTGGACGGCAACAGCATGGGATCTGTTTGGGGACTGCTTGTGGGTATGCTGTGGAGCAACCATGAACGCGCACATGGCAGTGATGTTTTTGAGGGGTGTGTAACAGTGCCACGGCGGCCGTTTGATACATACTCCGTTACAAACCATATGTGACAAGACCGGCCGGCTCGGTACTTATACCCCTTATTAACACCTTCGTTACATGCTTCGTATAAATCGGATAAATAAACTAAACCACCCGGCTGGTTGCCATACCCGGTTCCTGCGGAGCAGACTTTTGCAGAGCGTGCTTGCGGCACAACAGGTAGCCCGGAGGGGCTGGAAGAATCCTCTTTCTCTGCTATACCTTGTTGGATATATCTCGGTCGGTACACAGTGGCTACATACGTGGCCCAACCCCAGTTCGGGTCCAGCAACCCCTTTTGTCTCGGCCTGCGCTCAACATGCAACTTTCGAGCTGGAGCTGCGGAGGTGCGCCTTGCTAGTTGCGACGCTCGAGCCGAAGCTGCGGAAAAGCACCTTGTTGCTCTGTGCTACGATGTGCTACTAGCTCGCGTGCCGAAGAACTGCAAGTTTCGAGCTGGAGCTGCAGAAGCGTCGCCGAGCACTCACCTCCATAGCAAGATTCGTACCGCGTCGCTTCCAACATGCAGGGAAATTACCCTGATTGTCACTTGGGAACATTTTTTTACTGTTGTTGTCGTATGTTAGGAACTTGCAAATCTCAGCTTGCGGTAAGCCTTATGAAGTGATCTTCTGAGAATGGAGATGCCTGTTTGCCAGAAGCTAGTTGGCTCTCAGCGGATTACAGCCACCCTTCGTCCTCCGCCTTTCCCAAGAGTTACAAAGGAGTCTGAATTAGGACTCTGGCTCTCCATTAGTCATGTTCTGAACGGGTTCTTGTTTTTTTCCTCGAGGGAATGCGGCCGGCAAGCGCTCGAGGGAAACCGCATAGGTACCCTCGCCGTCGCCGAAGCGCCGGCGCCTGGAGGCCTCCAGGAGCCAAAGCCGGGGTCCACTTCCCAGCAGGCGTGTGAATCCAATCCCTGGTTCTTGCGTGTTTGTGCCTAATATGTGTGTGCTTGATCGTGTTTGAGGCATTTGTTCCGCCCTGGCAGCAAGTTAAGCCACGTATTTCTTTCCGAGCGGGCCCTGCCAGGAGTCGTTCCCACTCCCCGGCGCCTGGGTCGCCGCCGGCACCTGCGCCGGCGCCGTTTCTGGCGCCGTCGAAGGCGGGGTCGCCTGCTGGCACGGCGCTGGACACGGAGCCGCGGCCCAGTGCCTGCAGGGCGCTGGAGGCTGCTTCCGAGCGCACGGCGCATGTTTTACTTCTGTGCACACAGAAACCTAGACACTCAGATACTCAGACACTCAGACAGAGTTAGAGATACGCACACATACACAGACATTTGAGCACAAAAGCGAGTTTTGTCCACAACTGTACACACATAGATGTGAGGTTGTGTATATCTGCGGGTGTGTAGGTGCGTAAGTCATGTACCTGGGTAGCTTTCAACCGTGGCCGCCCGTTGAGAAGCCGAAGTGTGGATATTCCTGGGGCTTCGGTTGGGCAAAGGCTAAGACTGGGTTTGTGCAAGCCAGGACGGAGGAAGGGATTGCTTAGCGTCCACTATTTCTATTGAATCTTATTGGTTCTTCGAAACAATGGGCTTTTTCTTGGACGCACCTATGAACTGCAATTTTCGTGTGAGTCTGGGGGTTGTGAAGAAGACTCTCAACCTACCCAAGAACAATTGGAGATGGGTTCCCACTGCCATTTTGCTGTGCTTGGTTTGACCTACAATTTTCAGTTTTGCTTTTGTTCATGTTGGGTGGACACGATGTATTCCTTTGTTTGGCAGAAAGCTGCGCAGTTCTCCCAGGCGTGGCAGGTATGTTCAAACTCGCCTTGAGTCCTCCAGATAGCATTTGTGGCGTTTCTCCCTTCAAGTCCGTCCCCAAAAAAGGGGTCTGAGAAGTCGAGGTGTCCGAGGGTCAAGGACGCCTTTGAAGTGCTGAGTGCTGATGGCATGCTCTCTCCATGCCTTCCAAGAAGTTTTCCGTTTTTCCATTTGCGGGCGGGAAGGCACCCTAACTTAAGGTGACCCGTTGATCCGCTTCCGATTGCTTCTGGGAGTTGAAAGAACCAGTCAGGTTTGTTTCACCCAGAGTAGCACTTTCACTTTGGCGGGGGGTTAGCTTCCTCTCGAGCAACCCTGGCCCAGGCCAAGATACGAAGGGCATCCGACTTTTGACTCATGGCCCCTGCTGTAGAAATCCGCTTTGGGGGCCCTCTACCCGAAGCAGAGGCTAACGCCTCAAACCCTATCACCATTGGGTCGTGTCTCAAGTGGTGGGTTCCTCCAAAGTGATTGGTTTCCTTTTGGTTTCTTGGAAAAACCAAGCGCGCAAGATGGTCTCAAAAGCAGATGCGCCACCCATTCCTCTTGTCTTGCCCGGCTCTTCAGGCGCTGGGTGAAGACTGCGTCGTCGCGGGCCGGCGGCTCTTCGACGAGGGGGCGGTCAACGGCCTGGGTGGGAGGCCTGGGCCACTGGGTACCCCGAACGGTGCGCGGTGCGAATTGCGCGGGCGAAAGGTGTGCGGTGCTCAACGAGCTCGACTGGAAGATGACAAGAAATGTTGACTTGCTGGTTCGATAGGCAGGGAATGAGAAAGGGAATGACTCCCTTGGCAAAACCATCCCCGATTTGGTTTCTTGCAAGGGAATCCCCAAACGGTTCATTCCCAACACCGGGTCATTCCCTACTGAGCACCAGCAAGTTGAAGCAAACACCAAAAGCACCACCCACTGCAAAGTACAAGGCTGGCATCATACGGCATGATTTGCGGCCATGGAGACACACCCCTCTTGTCAATTCATAAGTATCCAGCAACAGTTTCAGGAGCTCAGCGGTTCCCTAAGCACCTGAGGGCCTTAATACTCAAGCGTTGAGCCACTGTATGGAGATAGCGCCATCCTTGCAATCTTGGTCTTCAACTTGGCTCGGCAAGGCCAACTCGGTTCCTTGCAAACGGGGAACTTCTGGAGTTTTGATTTAAAACCCAGAACCCCGGGGAAAAAATCACCAAATGTGGAATCTTTCGCAGGTCTGACTTTTCCCCTCGCAAGGTGCTACGAGATCGGGGCCACCCGGGAACAGGTGCAGCTACAGGTCCGTGGGGCGCCTCGGCATTGTTTTTCTCTGGATCGGCTCAAATCTTGCTGGAACATTCGAACCTCTTTGAACGAGTGGTGAGCTTCACGCCCCAAGGTTGTATGTGCTGACGTTGATGGAACCTATTTTTGATCGCACAACTTGGCTGTAGGAAATTGAAATGAGACATGCAGCAAATCGCCCCACTGCATCCGGCGCAATCTCTTCGGAATGCGTTCCAGGAACGGATGCTGAAATTACGCGGCCAAAGTGAACCTTGCAGGGCATTTTTTATGGCAGGCTTCGCCCTCGGAATTGTGAAAGCGGCAGCGCCATTGGCGCGTGATATGTGCAGGGGAGTTGGCAAAGGTAGCAGGAGATCTGTGTACCCTGACAACATCCAGTGAGATGCTGGTTATTAAGGATTATTTGATAGTATAGCTTTGTTTTACGGACCCTTGTGACAGTTCCCGCTAGGTAGTCAGGCCTTTCTCACCTTCTTTTTCGCGGTCGCCATTTCGAGAACTGAAGTCTGGCCCCAGCCCCGTATCCTGTTGTTCCAGAGAGCAACATTCATAGTTGTAACTTGCCAGCCGCTTTTTGCTTTCGGCTTGATTCCAGTTCCGAGTTCCCACTACAAGTAACTCTCCGGATTTGTTCCGTTGGCATGTTTTGTTTGGCTAGGCTATTCAAGTGGCGGCCCGCCTCACATGCTAACCGCTAACCCATCTTCGCCTACCTTACCCACCTAGGACAAGCAGTTACAGCGAGTAGTTTTGCCGTTACGGCAAATTCCTTTGCGAATTCCTTTGACGTTACGGCGAATTAATTCCTTGCGTAGCTGCCAAGCCTCCTATTGGTATATGAGATGCTACACAGCCTATCTTGCCTTCTCAGCTACCTGGCCATTGGATTCCACGGCCAATTTGCCAATTGAGGAAACCTGGGCCGGTAGCTGCAGCTGTCGTTTGCAGGGCCACTGCAAGCATGTGGCCGCGGCCTTGTGCTTCCTGCAGCAGGCAGGGCTCTGGGCTTTCCAAAGGCACAACTTGGCCCTGGGCGCTTGGGGGCGGAGTCCGACATGTCTTGGATGTGCATGATATTTCTTCTCGCCGTGCTGTTCCAGAGTGTCGAAGGGGCTAGTTGGCAGAGCCAAAGAGGGTTGTGCCGGCACCTTGTGGGCGCTCTTTGATTTGGCAAGGATGCCTCAAAAGGGGCCCACAGTTTGTAGGATTCATTTCCCATCGACTGAAAGCCGAGGTGGTTGGGTCCAGCCTTGAGCACATATGTTTGGGTCGCTTGCGGCGGGCCATCCTTGGCTAGGAAGAGAGAGAGCAGCCGCTGGAGGCAGAGGTGCGCTCGAGAGCCGAGAGGTCGCGCCTGATAGACTGGAATTTGGTACTTGTGGGGAGGCTCTTAGTGATACCTGAGCTTGCGGCACGGCCAACGTCCCTGCTAGTCAACCAAGACTGTCAGTTTGTGTGTTTGTTCTGCCTCGTGTTGCTGCTCTCTACGTCGTCCGAACCGTAGATTGAATATGGCTGATTGCGAACGTGTTGCATCTGGCATTGTTCTTGATGGATACAGGATGACTTGAACATCACATCCTAAGAGACATTCTTAGGGCAGTCTTTTCAATATCTTTTAATTTACAGGGACGATGGCAATTGTTGAAAGGGATGGAAGGGCCATGGTAGAGGGCTCATGGATTTCACAGACAGAGCGCCTCGATCAAAAAGTTCGAGTTTGTGGCAGCACCGAGCAGGCCGGCGCCGGCGCTGGCGCCGGCGTCGGCGATGTGGGAGCGGACGCACCTTTCCGAAAGCGGGAGCTGGCGCGGCTGCTCGAGCGAAGGACGCCGCTTGCAAAGAGGCTGGCTGTTCGCTGGTTTGTGATCAAAGGAAGTTTAGAAGGAACTGCGGTGTTACGGAAGCTAATTGAAGGTAACCTTTCACAGATAAGATGAAGCAAAAAGGAACGCATGCGAGAAAATGCGCGTGCTCGTGAGATTGACCCTCTGCGGGTTTTGGCACTCTGGCTGCAAGCTACCTGGGTTGCGACGGGTGCGGAACGGGCGCAGACCCGTGCTCAGTTTTGCGTGACAGACGCAGGACTTCGGCAAGCTGAGGGAAAGATTGCGTGGCAGGCGCCGCGCTTTGTTGGGATTGGTGATCAGATTGCGTGCCAGGGATAACACTTTTGGCAGCTTGAGGTGTAAATTTCGTGGCACGCGCAGCACTTTTGCAGACTCAGGTGCGGATTGAGTGACAAGCGCAGCATTTTGGCCAACTAGATAGGACATTGATAGCTAGATAGGTAGTCGGATAGATGAATTGGGTAGATAGAAAGAAAAGGTAGCTTGCCAGTTAGATAGGTAGACAGGTAGATACACAGTATGGATAGATAGTAGATGGACAGATAGACAAATAGGCAGACAGAGAGATAGAGATACCGGAGCGGAGAGATAGAGAGATGGAGAGATAACGGGAAAGAGTGATAGAGAGATAAGGAGACACAAAGACAGAGGGCCAGAGAGATACAGAGATAGGGAGATAGCGAAATCGCAAGATAGGGAAATAGACAGATAGATAGACACATGGATGGATAGATGGATAGATAGTCGGATAGATAGAAAGGTAGGTAGGTAGATCGATGGATAGATCGAAAAAGATAAAGATAAAGAGGCGCGAAAAGAGAAGAGAAAGAACAGCAAGAGAAAGATAAAGAGACAAGGAGAGAAAGAGAAGAGCAAGAGAAAGACAACGAGAAAGAGACGCAGAACGAAGACAATTATAAAGAATAGGAAGCAGAAACAGGGAAGATGTTAGAAAGCAAAAGCGAAATATAAGCGAAATAAAGAGAAAGAGAAAGGGAATGAGAAAGAGAAAGACAAGAGAAAGAGAAAGAGACAGAAGAGAGATAGAGATGAAGAACAATATATCTATAGTTCTTAGAAGAACTTCGTATGTCTTTGAATCTTCCGCCAGCCGGCTTCGCCGGCGCGCAAGTGGTGGCGCAAATAGGTCAAACAAGTGTTTGGCAGCGCATGTGGGTTGCTGAGATGCAGTTGATTGCGCAGCTGCTGCTGCGAACTCTCCCAGCAGCTGTTGCAGGGTGCATGAGGGCATGAGCTGGTTGGTCGACAAGTAGTGTCTAAGTCGCAATTAGTAAAGAAGGCAGTTACGGTATTTCATGCTTTCAAAGCATGAGGAGCTGGTCAAGCAGCGCCTTTTCCGTAACTTCCGCTCTTCGCCACATTAGCATCCCGGTGAAGTCATTTGCCCCAAAAACCTATGCTGCGCAACGCCTCATGGCTGCGCTCATACATGTATATTTGTTCCCCAGAATCAACCGTGCAATGCATTGCAGGAATTCCTGCTTTGTTGTTTCCCGAATTCAGTCTTCGGTGTATGCTTTTGAAAACGCAGCCAGACTTGTGCGACTGTAGCGGTCATGGCCAATCTTCAGTTTTTCTCGTCAATACCCAAGCGGTCACATGGCGTTTGGTTTGGCACTGGTCGAACCCTGTCTGGAACGTGCCTTTGTTGTATCTTGGTCTTGTCCATGCTCCACAACTTGAGGTAGACATCACATCTTTGCTTTGTCGAGCCTAGGAACGATGAGCTGAAAAGCTACCTCAGGCCAGCGGTTGGGCTTGCTATCATTTCAGTGGGACAGTTTGGCCTGGCGTTTCTGGCACAAATCCATGGTGACTGCAGAACAGTAAAACTATCTGAATCAGCTTCGCATGCTTGTAGAGAACTGTTCTCTCAATGTATATGTCTGTGCGCTTACCAAGTTTTTCGTATCATCGTATCATTGTGATTGTGAGCTGTCGGTTCCATGTGGAACTTGTTCAAATCTATTTTGGCAAGTGTGAGTTATTATCTTAGGCCTCTGTGGCCTTCTTTGTGGGAATGTCATCAGTTATAGCTTATACCTGCCAATCGATTGCTAGACTTTACTAACCGTTGCATACTCCTCTTCGACTACTAGTTGCTCGAACATGAGCATGTTCACGTGCGTGGGCCTGCTGCTTCCTGTAAATCGTGCTTTTGCAATCTTATGCATGCAGCCTCATGCAGCGGCCGAGCTTTGTACCGTCAGCAGCTACAGTTGCTTTGGAGTGTGCTTGCATCATCCTGTCTTCAGTTGCGCAGTGACCAGAGCCGCCATGCCTGTGGCGCAACAACAATCCTGGAAGTCACTCCAAGCTTGTCATTTGGAGACTTTGCCATTTTCCGTTTATTTGAATCGTCCGCTTTGCGTAGTAAAAGGCAAGATGAAAGAGGCAAGAGGCAGAGCTCGCACTTCCAGATCTTCAAAGAGCGGCTTGTGGGGCAGTGCTCCTCTGTGCTCGCTCTCTCTCGCTCTCTCTCGCTCTCTCTCGCTCTCTCTCGCTCTCTCTCGCTCTCTCTCGCTCTCTCTCTCCCTCTCTCTCTCCCTCTCTCTCTCCCTCTCTCTCTCCTCTCTCTCCCTCTCTCTCTCCTCTCCCTCTCCTCTCTCTCCCTCTCTCTCTCCTCTCTCTCTCTCTCTCTCTCTCTCCCCTCTCTCTCCCTCTCTCTCCCTCTGTCTCCCTCTCTCTCTCTCTCTCTCTCTCTCTCTCCCTCTCTCTCCCTCTCTCTCTCTCTCTAATATTAGACATACATACACACACACAATTTATATACATACACGTATATATATATATATATTCGTTTACCTCTATAAGCCCCGCTCAGCAGGATTTACACCATGGAGTTCTGCTCCAACGTCATGAGATGCCCAAATCGCAGGCTGAACAACCAGCTCCTCAGCGGCGCCAAGGCGGAGCTCGTGCATCGCCTGGCGGAGGCCGCCGTCTACGGAGCCCTGGCGCCCTGTGGGGACTCCCAACGAGCGAGATCCGAGCGCTTCGGTGCGCGGTGTGCCTCTCAAGGGGTGAGTGTTGAGTGTGCTCAGTGCTCTGTGCTTCTTCAAACTGGCTCTTTCGCTCTGTCTGTCTTTCTTTCTGTTCTTTTCTTTTCTTTTGTCTTGCTGCTTGCTTGCGTGCGTGCGTGCTTGCTTGCTTGCTTGCTTACATGCGTGCTTGCTTGCGTGCGTGCGTGCTTGCTTGCTTGCGTGCGTGCTTGCTTGCGTGCGGGCGTGCTTGCTTGCTGGCTGGCTTGGCTCGGCTTGCGTGCGTGCTTGCTTGCTGGCGTGCGTGCGTGCATGCTTGCTTGCTTGCGTGCGTGCTTGCGTGCATGCGTGCGTGCTTGCTTGCTTGCTGGCTGCTTGCTTGCTTGCTTGCTTGCTTGCTTGCTTGCCTGCTTGCTTGCTTGCTTGCTTGCTTGCTTGCTTGCGTGCGTGCGTGCGTGCGTGCTTGCTTGCTTGCGTCTGTGCGTGTGCGCGTGCTTGCTTGCTTGCTTGCTTGCTTGCTTGCTTGCTTGCTTGCTTGCTTGCCTGCCTGCCTGCCTGCTTGCTTGCTTGCTTGCTTGCTTGCTTGCTTGCTTGCTTGCCCGCTTGCGTGCTTGCGTGCTTGCTTGCGTGCTTGCGTGCGTGCGTGCTTGCTTGCTTGCTTGCTTGCTTCCTTGCGAGCTTGCTTGCTTGCTTTGCTTTGCTTTGCTTGCTTTGCTTGCTTGCTTGCTTGCTTGCTTGCGTGCTGGCTTGCTTGCTTGCGTGCTGGCGTGCTTGCTGCTTGCTTGCTTGCTTGCTTGTTTGCTTGCGTGCTTGTGTGCTTGCGTGCTTGCTTGCTTGCTTGCTTCGCTTGCTTGCTTGCTGGCTTGCTTGCTTGCTTGCGTGCGTGCGTGCGTGCTTGCTTGCTTGCGTGCGCTTGCTTGCTTGCTTGCGTGCGCGTGCTTGCTTGCTTGCTTGCTTGCTTGCTTGCTTGCTTGCTTGCTTGCTTGCTTGCTTGCTTGCTTGCTTGCTTGCTTGCTTGCTTGCTTGCTTGCTTGCTTGCTTGCTTGCTTGCGCTTGCTTGTGCTTGCTTGCTTGTGCGTGTGCGTGTGCTTGCTTGCTTGCTTGCTTGCTTGCTTGCTTGCTTGCTTGCTTGCTTGCTTGCTTGCTTGCTTGCTTGCTTGCTTGCTTGCTTGCTTGCTTGCTTGCTTGCTTGCTTGCTTGCTTGCTTGCTTGCTTGCTTGCTTGCTTGCTTGCTTGCTTGCTTGCTTGCTTGCTTGCTTGCTTGCTTGCTTGCTTGCTTGCTTGCTTGCTTGCTTGCTTGCTTGCTTGCTTTGCTTGCTTTGCTTGCTTTGCTTTGCTTGCTTGCTTGCTTGCTTGCGTGCTGGCTTTCTTGCTTGCTTGCGTGCTTGCGTGCTTGCGTGCTCGCGTGCTTGCGTGCGTGCTTGCGTGCTTGCTTGCTTGCTTGCTTGCGTGTTTTCGTGCTTGCGTGCTTGCTTGCGTGCCTGCCTGCGTGCGTGCTTGCGTGCTTGCATACGTGCTTGCTTGCTTTGCTTGCTTGCTTGCTTGCTTGCGTGCTGGCTTGCTTGCTTGCGTGTGTGCGTGCGTGCTGGCGTGCTTGCTTGCTTGCTTGCGTGCTTGCTTGCGTGCTTGCGTGCTTGCTTGCTTGCTTGCTTGCTTGCTTGCTTGCTTGCTTGCTTGCTTGCTTGCGTGCTTGCGTGCTTGCGTGCTTGCGTGCTTGCGTGCTTGCGTGCTTGCGTGCTTGCATGTGTGCGTGCTTGCTTGCTTGCTGGCTTGCGTGTGTGTGCATGCGTGCGTGCGTGCCTGCTTGCTTGCTTGCGTGCCTGCGTGCGTGCTTTCTTGCTTTCTTGCTTGCGTTCTTGCGTGCTTGCTTGCTGGCTTGCTTGTTGTGCTTGCGTCCTTGCTTGCTTGCTTGCTTGCGTGTGTGCGTGCTTGCTTGCTTGCTTGCTTGCTTGCTTGCTTGCTTGCTTGCTTGCTTGCGTGCGTGCGTGCGTGCGTGCGTGCGTGCGTGCTTGCTTGCTTGCTTGCTTGCTTGTGTGCTTGCTTGCGTCCTTGCTTCCTTGCTTGCTTGCGTGTGTGTGTGTGTGTGTGTGTGTGCGTGCTCGCGCGTGCGTGCGCTTGTGTGCGTGCGTGCCCTCTTGCCTGCTTGTCATTTATTCTGGACCGCGGGGTTGGGCGCAGAAGCATTCTATGGCCTCTGCCCACGTTGCCAAACGAGGTTTCGGTTGTGTGGCTGCTACCATGTTGAAGGGCAGCTACCCCATTCCAACGCACTGAGCTAGGTCTTCGCGCCAACCAGTCAACAACAGCAAGACGCACTGCCAAACAAAACCATCACACCCACTCTTCATTGATTGCCCGCTCACCAACAGCATGGCCCAAAACAGATTCGGCTTGGGGAGAATGTCCAGCCCACTTACGGTTGACGACTCAGGGGTGACCCACCCCGGGTCCGGTTAAGACCAGGGTGCTCTACCAGCGTTCAGCCCAGGCCCGCGGTGTGGTGGCCACCTGCACCCAGAGGAGCCCTCGCTGGCGCCTGGCACCACGTGCCCCGGCGTCGCGTTCCCCCCCCCTTTTTGGTGAAGGTGGGCAGATTTTTGAGTCATGGCAGGCACCCGGGAGGGGTTGAAAGAAGAATGGTTTCCTTTGATGGCTATGGGAGAAATCGGGCCTTTGGAAGAACAGAAATCAAACGTCCCGTTTGGGGCTGGTTTATAAACGGTGCCTTGAGAGCAGCTTCCTGCCTCCCAGCTTGGGAAGTGCAAACCCATTGTGGAACCTACTGGTACGAAGTTTCTTTTCCAGGCGGAAACATGGCGCCTGCCTGTTCAGTCACACCCAAGAATGTGTCAAAACTTCAACGTGACATTGAATTAGCAAGGTTCCTTCTGATGTGCGGGTTTGCTCCAAACGGTAAAGGGCCATCAACCCCGATCGAATCGAGGTACTTCTGCAAGCGCCAGCTGCGAGATCGGGAGGCCTGCGGCTACCAGGCCGGTCTGGTCCCATTTTGCAATGTGGATGGCTACGAAATCCGTTCGCACCGAAGAAACCCTGGAAGGATTCGATTCCCCTGCAAATACCAACAAAGAATGGTTTCAACCAAAGCGCCAACATGGGGAATGAGTTTTTTCGAAGGAAGAAACACCACCGTGGAGACTCCAACATCATCTAATACCCGTGTCTCTGGACTACGCTTGCGGTGAAATCCTTTCCCAATTCCGAAATTCAACCCCGAGAGAATTGCATTGTCATAATTATACAGCCTCCCCTAGTTGTTTCTTTCGCCTCCGGTCTTCGTCCTGGAGGCTCCCCCTTTTCAGGCTCAACCATCCTTCAAAGGCGCAATTTCTGAGTAAGGACTTTTAAGAGAAGAAATCTAGTAGTATGTCCCAATATGTTCTGTATGGATCATATTGGCAAATCATTGATTTGGTGTTGGTTCCATGTAGGCACACTTTTGTTTTCACCTTGCTCTGGCGTTCCAGACAAGAAAGGCAGTAGCTTCTGTTGATTCGTGTGGAGTTGGGGCTGGGATGGATGACGTTTTTGGGGGATGGGGCAGTTTTGTTGTTGGTGAGCCTTAGTAGGCGGGGCTGATTGTTCTGCAAGAACTGATGTGGTCAGCTGCAGATGGCTGTGCAGGAAGTCCTTGAAACCAATGACGAGCCAAGCAAGTTTGGAGATGTCTTATGCACATCTGCTTTCCAATGCAGACACGGCAGGATCATTTTACGTGCGAGGGCATGCAAAAAGCAGTTTTGAGCCGGTTTCGAGTGTTGGATAAGCTGGTCACACACCTGACCGCGCATATGAAGCACCGCTGCATTCTCTGGAGCACAACAGCGAGAGCCCGAGATATTCTCCGTTTGGGATCTGCTGGATTCTTTCCAGATTCTGCAAGTACTGTATATGTTTGCCACCAGCCAGAGAGGGGTAGCAGTACATTGTTTTCTTTGCGTTGGCGTTAGTAAGCTGTTGGACTTTGGCAACCCCGAGAGGCAACAGTGTCACTGATAGTTCAGAGCTCCACGCTACTCACAGCGCAAAACGTCCGTTTCCGGGACCCGGCAGGTCCCTACCTTTAGCCCCAAATGACTTTTTGCTGCCGGTCCCCTAAGAGAATCTCGATAAACATTTTCCCCTAACAGTGTCACTGGGGGTTCCGGGCTGTTGGGCTTACTTTTGGGTTTGAACAGTTGGACCCCACCAGGCGCGATGGCGCGACTCGATTCCAGGCGTTGGGGCAGCACGTGGAGCGCCGGCCCTTCCTGGGAGCTGAGGAGCTCTTGCGGGGACTCCGCTGAGGTCGCTGGGCGTCCGCAAAAAAAGGCGAGCTGTGGGTCAAAATTAGGCCACCAGGATATGGACTGCAGGGTGTGGTCCCTATATATCCATTTAGCTGCCTATTTTCGACCCGCGGCCAGCTGATGTTCGCAAGACCTGCCATGCGTGTAAAGTTATTTGTAGGGCGTTTTAGGGGACCCATGAGCAAGCTCCCGACTACTTATGTAGCAATTACTGGGTTTGCGCTGGCTTTGTACAGAGGCGAGATGCGAAGCGCCTGCGAAAACCGCTTCGGCCCCGTTGAGACCGTTTCGGTGCCACCAAACGAGGTCCCGATTTCGCGGTCAAATGGTTCACCATGTTCTTATCCATCCACCGAACCCGCTGGTTTGGTCAGATCGGGATTGAGAAGCAGATGCGAGAGCTTGGCTCTGAATGGCATCGCTCTGATCAGCAATGGGTTTCCACCAGAATGGTCCCCTCAAGTGGTTGGTGTCCTTTTGTTTCCTTTAATTACCAACCAACATGAGGTCCATCATTTTAAGCACTAATGTAGTTAGCCACTGTTCATGGGATGTGGGAAGAGACGCTCCCCGCGCTTCTGGGCGGGCATGCCACTCATCGATGGTTTGCAGCCAATTCCTTCTGACTGGCGATGCAAGGGCTGATCAGGACTCTCTGTTGGTGGATCTTAAGATGGAATCGCTCCGAAGGCTGGTCTCGTTTGCAGCTCTAATGTTGGTCCATTCCAAATGCGTCACATGCGAGACCCGACCTCTCCGCGCTTTGTGGTCACCAGCAAAGCTGGCAACGGGACCGCCGCTGAAAACGACCGGCGTGGCGGCCAGTTTGGGATCCATTCTTCGGTGCGCAAGCGAACTACCATCAGCTTGACCACCTTGCACCATTGCACGAATCAACATAGCCTAAGACATGGGAGTTCACGAACCGAGTTGCCAGCAGTTGTTAGGTCTTTGGGGCAAGTCTGCTTTACTTACCAAGCAAACTGACAGCCTGCTTGTTTTTGATTGCCCACAGTTAAAATTGAATGTAAGCAATAATGGATGTTGTTACATGGGGGTTGATCAATATGCCTGGCCCCGAAATGACCATGGGTATCTTCCCCATTTGGTGGGAAAGATCATCCAGTTGTTGGTTTCTTCAATGGTCATCCCATGTAAGGGACCTTTTGATGCCTATCGTTGTTTTCATATGACAAAACAAATCCACGCATGGGCTAGTTTGCATACTAGTAGAGCGGGATGGTACGATTTCTATCGCTTCACCATGCAGCGCCGTTGCAAGAGAGCCACCATGCCGCGCAACATCCAACCGTTGCCTCACCGGGAAGCTGCACCGGGATGGCGGCTTTTTCCTTCACGCGCCAAGAAGACTTCTAGAGGGGTCTCTACTTGGCGGAAGGCAACACGCCAGGATTTCTGCTGTTCTTCGTTTGGATATGGAGGCCGTGCAACCAAGACTAGGTCCTTCCCTCAGCCCTTCGGTTGCCAGGCAGGCGGCAGGCCGAGGCCAGAGCTGGAGCTGGTTCTTGCAAGTCGTTTGATTTCAAGATGCCCCCCTTCCGTATTGGTTTGGGGCCCCTCCAAATGCTACCCAAAAACAGGCCCGCTGTCCACCTGGCTGGGTCACAGACCGCCACCTGGTTCAATGCCCATGGTTGAGGGCTTCGACTTTGCGTGGGAATACCGTGTGTTTGATCCAGGTCCATGTTAGAACCACGCATCTTTGCAGGTCTCCCAGACTCGGAAGGGTATGATGCGCACAGTAAGCGCCGCCTCTGTGCTCATGAAGCGTGTCGGTTCAGCGTCTCCAGACCCCAGGATGACCAAGCACGTTTCATTCTCTAAAACAGATCCAGCGTGAGGCTGGAAGGCATCGCACCCAAGTTCAGCCAGAAAGTATTCAGGGAATGTGGATCATAGTGGTTTGGTCAAGCGACTGAAGGGCCTGAAGTACATTGGAGCTTTGATCTTCAGGTGCACCAAGCACCTCCACCTCCCCCGCTCATCTCCGCTGGGGGCCTTAAGCGGTCCGGATGGGCCTGGGGGCAATGGTCTACGGGGTGAGACATTTGAGGTGTTTTGCGGTGGTCTTAGTTCTCGAGGCTTGAACTGTGCCGTGTTTGGTTGCTCATGTTCAAGACACGCGTTTTCACAAGTCGGCACAGTCTCCGAGCTGTGGCAGAGCCTCCAAGCACTTGCATGGACTTGTCCGGTGTAGAATCCAGCTAGGATCTCCGGTGCCCGGGTCGGTCCCGAGGGGTCTCCTTCGGCCTACGGATGTCCTTCTCTGGGTTCCTTGTCCCCGAGTCCCGGCATCGCCTTTGTTGCAGCCTTCCTTCCGGCGCCTCCCCGTCCCCTTACCTCGCTCCGGAAGCTCCCGGGAACCTGGAACATTTAGCTAGTGAGGGCTGCGCCGAGTTACAGCAAGAAGTAGATGAAGCAGTTAGCTCATCTTACGTGGCAGGCAAGATGAGGATGGAACGGCTTGCGCATGCAATTCCTTCCACTCTTACTAGAATCTGTGCGTGCTTTGCAGACACTTGAGAGCAACAGGTGCTTCCCATAGGTTCCAAATCATGTCCAGCAACATGTCCTTGTTCGTGCTTTGTTCCGCAGCAATCAAGGAAACAAACATCATGCTCATGTCATACTCACATTGTGTAAGTACAACACAGCCCGCTGGAACACGTTCGACGATTGAGACCGGGAGCCTCAAGCACTGAAAGCTTCGCAGTCGCAGATGTCTCTGGCATGGCGAGGGTATTGCCTTGTCTCGCCACTCAGGTGCAGCCTCCTGCCAAGCGCATCGAGGACCTCGCCAGGGAGGTGGATATTGGCTTGATTGCTATTGGGTTGGATCTTTAGACTTCATTTTTGGGGAAATCAAGGGTTTTCCATTGAACCAACAACAATGTGTCCACTTTTGCAGAGGGTCAACAGCAACCGAGTTGGAGTGCTGGTGGCTCGGCATTTTGTTTTGCTTTCCTTTTGATACCCATCCACAAAGACATGGTTGATTTCAACACACTTTCTTTGCCCGAGCTTTGGGAAGCAACGTCCCTGGGGAGGAACATAAATTTTGCCTTTGTTAGAGTTCAATACATGCAACGTGAATTTCCAGTTCTGCGGTTGTCTTAAATCCCAGCTGCCACCTCGTGCGATCCGCCTGTTTTGCTGCTGATATCGTGTCTAGAAATTGTTGGAGCGTTTCTCGAGCCGTGAAAGGACGCTGTTCATTTTCCCATGCATGGCGCCTTGTTTGGCTGGCTGGTCAGTGGAAAGCTGGTCCAGAACATGGGGACAGGCACCATGTCCAGGCCCAGTCAAGCCGATGTTGAGCGAAACACCGGTTTAACACACACACACACACATACCACGTCTATTCTGGAGTTTCAAGAGAACATGTATTGACTGGCGAAGTTCAATGATTGCTTCAGGTGTGCTTTTGCTGTCTGCGCTTTGCTTGTTGGAGCAGTTGCGACAAGCGTTTTGCCCGGACGTTTTCCGGAAAGAGCTGTGGCTTGGGCATATGGTCATTGCCTCTGCATCGAGCCCGCGTTTCAGCATTCAACGATTTGGGGCTTGCACGTCTTTTGCTGCCAGCTTCTACAAGTACACCTTGAGCTCGCCTTTGTTCGAGCTCAAGCCCCAATCCTTTGCAGCGCCTGGCTGCAGCTTGCGCGGCTCAGATCCTGCAAGTACTGGCACACATCAGCCCCCAAACCTAAGCCGGGCGTTTCGGTCTGTGATCCAACCAGCTGCTCCTTGCCATGGACGCGTTTTTGGTGCCGCTGACTCACGCGCCGCCCAGCTCAGTCCCGGCTTTGGCAGCATCGCGCAGTCGGAGCCTGGCCGGTGCCTCGCTGTGAACATGCGCTCAACCTGTGATGAAACCTTCCAGCTGAAGTATAGGGAAGGTCTAAAGGAAGAAGCGGCAAGAGAAGTGGACTGGCAACCGGACCTTAATCCCAGGTTTGCCTCGTGCAAGGTTCCAAGAGTTTTGCTCTCAGGAATTGTTCAGCGCTGCAGTGGGTAGAAAAGCGTCCGATGAAAACACAAACAAACCTCGGTTGACGCGTTTCCGGGTGGAGCCAAATACGCTGGCTTGGAAGCGATTCGGTATGGTTCATTCTGATTTAGTATTGGGAGATCAGGGGTCTGGAACATATTTTACTCGAGTGCATCTACTTCAGGGAGGACGTGGTCTTGGAGCAATGCTGAACTTTTTGAGCCCTTCCCAGGAGTTTCCGAGACACTCGTCCCATTTCGGGAATTCTGGTAGGCAGCCCGGGCGCCGTCCTCACGGCGGCCGCCGCTTTTGCCGCCGCCCGTTCCGCGCGGAGCGCGAAGAGGGGCACCTCCCGGGCGACGAAAGGCGCCAAGAGTTGGGTAACCTCAAAAGGGAGCGCTGGAAAACGGAACCAAGGACTAAAACCTGCGGTCCCCTGGTAGTTGAGGTTTGACCAACAACCCATATTGCCTGGTTTATTCATGTGTTTGAAGCGCATGGGGCTCATCACACCCTCTCGGAAGCCTCTGTATTTGGCGCAAGTTGTGAAGAGAGGAGCATGGCAACCACCCTGGCAACTTGCATTGCGTTCATCCGACGGCTTATGATTTTGGAGTGAAGGTCAAGGCTCGGAACTGGAGTACGGTGAGTATCGCGGGAAACGGACCGCCGTTTAGTCGAAGGCAAGGACTATAGCTAAAGATGAGGTCGGAAAGTGTTGTTGGTGCACTTGCAGGGGTGAATTTGTGGTTGTGACTAGTGAGTCGCGCAAGTCCACTGCAAATGCATCCATGGGAAGTACCTGGATGCGAGCCTGGATAGCAAGCGAATCTGCTAAAGCAGGCGGAATATCGCAAACCCTCAAAGCATTCCAAGCAGTGCTGGCAATCAACCATGGATATCTAGCCAACACTTGACGACATTGATGAACGATCGCACTCCAGGCAGCAGTTCAACGTCCTAGCCAGCCTGGCCGCAGCGTGCAGAAAACAGTTCGTTGTGTGTTTGATTTATATACAAATCCCACACGCCCGAACAATTGCGTTTGCAGCCTTGGCGTGAACAAACTGCTTGCGGCTCGCATGTGGTGCCCTTTAGCATAGGCCTGCATAAGCACACAGCCGGCCGTGTTCTCGCAGACAAATCTGACCGCCTCGGCCAGGGGATGAGATCAAATTCGCTCCCGCAGACTCGGGCGACGACGACGTGGAGGCGGCAGAGCTTCCGCTGGAGCAGAGGGCACAAGCTCTGGCAGAGTCATTGCCTGCACTGGCGCGGCTCCGGGGCTCCGTGGTGGCTTGACTCAACTGGCAGCTCCAAGAGAAGGCATGTTTGGTTGGCATGTTTGGCATGTCATCGGCCGACAGCCAGCAATGGCAGAGTTGTGGGAACCCTCGCGCCTTGAGTTCCTTTTACAGAGGGCGGCTGGCTCAATCATATCCCGAACAGCTTGAGGCCCGGGCGTGCCCTGGCTCCAAGTCAACCCAAATTGGCATGGAGCACGCTGAATGCTGTGACTTTTAGCCCAGTGGAATCACCAAGGGCTGCAACGGGGCAAGGTTCAGCGTTGCACGTGAGTTCTGTGAATCCCTTCCCCTTACTAAGAAATCCACCCCGATGAATAAATCTTGCTTTTCAGGATCCAAAAACTCAAACAAAAAACCTCTCCCCTTTGGCAAATAGGGGAATGCCAACATCCCCAACAAGACCTCTTTGATCACATTTCGGAAGGGATTCAGGTGGCAGTGATTTTTTGGAGGGGTCCGTAACAGAGCCGCGCGGACATTTTGTTACAGACCACGTTACAGACCTCTGTAACAAGACCCCCTTGGCCCGTTGCACACCCCTCATTACACACCTTCTTTACACACCTCACATGAACAAACCGCTTGGCTGGTTCATGCCCATATCCCGATGCATGCACAACTTGCAGAGAGTTGCCATTGAGATGAAAAACTTGGAACAGGGGCCTACCTCGTTGCAGACCTCGCTACATAGCCGTTACATACCTCATTACAGGCCCAGCCCCAGCCCAGGCCAGCGTCCCCCTTTTTTTACCACCATCTGCAACTTTCAAGCTGGAGCTGCGGAGGAGACCTTTGAATTCTGCACTTTGCTTCGCCTCGTTACATCTCGTTACATAGCCGTCAAATACCTTGTTAGAGACCCAACCCCAGCCTGCGCCAGTCGCTTGGCTTGCGTCGGGCAGTTGCAATTTTCAAGCTGGAGCTGCGGAGGTGTGCTTCGCGTGCTGCACTTGCGCTGGACAGTTGCGACTTTCCAGCGGGAGCTGCGGCTTTTCCCACTACAGACCTGCGCAACAAGGACCCCCGTTACACAACTCCGTAACAGGATTCGTGGCGCGTCGCGCTTTACAACCCTCAAACAAGTCGTAGCCAGGTGGTGATGAATACATCTGTTTTTTTCAGGATCCAAAAGCCAAACAAGTCCAAGTTGAAAACAGATGGGGCGGGATGAATGGATTGAGGTGGTGATCAAGTACGGTGGCGCCGCGATGGTCAAAAGCCCGGAGCGCACCATCCGGGACGTGGCGCTGCTGGGGGCCTTGGGCCTGAAGCCGGTGCTGGTGCATGGGGGCGGCCCCGAGATCAACAGCTGGCTGGCCAAGGCGTCGCTCCCTGAGCTCCCGGGCTTGATGCGTTTCGGGTTTGGACCATATGGGTGGTACATTAAAAAAATAACTTGCTTTGGCAAATCCACTCAGGAAGTGAGTCAGGCACTATGCTGTTGGAGTTTGGGCATGGCAGAGAGAAGACGACTTGCCTTGCTTCCATGACTTCTGACTTGTTGGGCTTCTAAGATGCTTCAGCTGCTATGCCCTCATGTTCCCAGGCGTTCGGAGAGCAGGAGATTTTGATTTTTCGCAGGGTTGCCGGTGTCAAGAAGGTGAAACCATTCGATCCAGGACGAATGGTGTTTGGCTAATCCAATGGAGGGATGCAATTTAATTTATGTTGAGCCATGATCCCTAAGACGGGCGCGTTGTGGACTGGATGCCTGGATGCATGCATGCATGTTGGTATATATACATATATATATATATATGAATGTGTGTGTTTTTTTTCTTCTCTCTCTCTCTCTATACATTACAATGTGAATATATATATATATGTATGGATACATACATATGCAATATCAACTTCCTGCCGATGTGGGGTGTCCGTCAGGTGGGCATCGAGCCCAAGTTCGTGCGCGGCCTGCGTGTCACCGATGCGGACACCATGGAGGCTGGCACCCCCATGCCGCCCCTGTGCTCTTAAAGCCGGGGTGCGACGGCGAAATGATTCCGAGTTCGACTCAGGAATGGTTCCCCCTTGAAGGGGGTAGGATTCACGCCAATGGTACCTTTGCGGTCCGCGCGAAGAGCCAAGGGTTCAACACCCTCGAAGTGGATTAGCCGGGTTAAATAAGCGGGTGTTTCCGAGAATGGAACATTCTAAAAATGGGAGAATGGGTGCTTCCTTCGGAATCCAAACATATGGCCCCATTTGAACACATCGGCTTGCTTTCCAACCCCGTCCGGCCACCTCTCAGAGCGGGGCCTCAAAGCGGGTCAAAAGCTTTGTGGCTATTCGGTTAGATGTTTCTTTTTGGTTGAAATCAAGGGTTTTCCATTGAACCCACAAAAAGTTAAGCTTTTTTGCAGAGGGGTCAACAGCAATCAAGAAAGATGTGGTGTTTTGGTGCGGGGTTGCATCACCCTGCGAATGAAACGATGAGGTTGCCACCTCCAGGATTCTCGTGTTACAAGGGATGGCCGTGCCAAATTATTGTTGTTTGGCATCAAGGCGCGACCACTTGTGTATGTGGCCTTGTTGTGAAAAGAACAGGGTCCGAAGTTTCAGGAGGAAGCCGCCTGATACACAGTGGAAAGAGAAGCATGCCGTTCGTGCAGCTCGCTTTGCAGAGCTTGCCCAAGCAAGATAAAGAAACAGTGGGCAAGTCCCAGGCAGCATGCTTCCAACTACTTGTCAGGCGTGTGCGCCATTTTTTGTTGAATGCTGCGCCCCAAGCAAGGCCCACGAGCAAGCACACGTGAACTCAAGACCAAGTGAGACTGACAACTTCGTCCGCGATCACCTTTGGCGATAAATTACTTGGCAGTGTGCATCTGTATGAACGCCCAGAGCAACATGCAGGTCGTTGCCATGGTCCTCATGGGCAAGGCAGGGGTGAGAAAACCGGAGCCAAGCAAGAGTATGTGGTGTCAATCTTGCGGATTTGGGCGCTGGTTTTCTTGCTGGTGCTCAGTAGGGAATGAGTTGGAATGACCCTTACACACCATGCCTTGTGGTTTCCTTTCAGGGGACCAATTCCAGGGTTCATGCCATTTCTCATTCCCTGCTGAGCACCAGCCCTGGTTTTCTCTGGAGTTCGGCGCATGGGTAAGCTGAGGTGAACAAGGGCATTGTCGCCACCATGGGCGCCGCGGGCGCCAGCGGGCTCAGCATGCTCACACTGTGAGGGTGCTAACGGCTGATGGCAGCGCACCACGAAAGGGCGAGACGATTCAACAGGCGAGTTCCCCCTTTTCCGTGGAGCAAACTGAGCACATGGAAGGTGTCCAAACCCGGATTGTGAGGTGTGGTAAGGTCCGGGTTTTGGGCCTTGGGCCTTTCTGCCAGTCGAAATCAAGGACCGGCTTTTGTGATAGGTCTCCCATTTTGACCAGAGGCCCGCCCGCCCCCCCACCCCCCACCCCCCGCCCCCTTGCATTGCTTCAGAAAGCCCCTCCTCTCCCAAGCCATGTAGAAGGCACTACCCCTACCCACGCGACCCTCCACCCCGACAAAAAGCCCACACCCCCTCTCACCCTTGCTCGGACAAGCGCCGACTTTTAGGATCCTTTTAACAACAACGAGGATTCTGACAATGCTTGGATCCTTCTTTTCTGTGCTTGTGGAACCGCTACTCTTGTCGGATGATCCGCGTCGCCGAGCATACTGTGAAATGTATATATATATATATATATATGTTTTTCTCCTTGTCTCAGCCCCAAGTGTTGCCAACAGGACCCCAAAAGCCCTCGCGTCAAGCGGAGGTTGTCCAACCGCTTCAGGGTGGTCGTTTTTGTCGCGCCAAGAAACGCCGCGCTCGCCACATTAGGTCCCCGCCGTTGGGCTCAGCGGCGTCGACGGTGGCCTGCTTCAGGCGAGGGGTGGGCCAAGTGCGGGAAACCGGTTGCGGATGGGAGGGAGACCGGCATCGTGGCACTCGAGTTTTGCAGAACTCAAAAAATTCTTGAAAAAGGCCTGTGGAGTTTGAGGGAGGTTTTTGAGGACCAGTTTTGTCACCTGATGCTTGTTTGGGGCGTCTGCAATACAATGTGCTTTTAGAGATGAGAATCACTAGGCACTAGACCTGCTACCCCTCCAAGTCCATGGGCATCGCACCCGTGTAGCAAAGTCCAAGTCGACGCAGTGTGTCCATGTATTTGCAACCTGAAAGCAGAGGCTCCGAATCAGCCGCAAACTCCTCGATGATTTGTTGTCCGCGGTCTGGTACGAAATTTCTAAGTGGGCATTTTGGCCATATGCTTGTGCGGGTGGTTCTTGCATCGCTACTTTGCTTCATTGTCTTGGCAGCACCAAGCGCAAGGACTCCAACTAGGGACACCGCGTTTTTCATGTGTGTTTTGTCCATATGTTTTAGAGCAAAGCACACAAGGCCAACCACTTGGGTTTTTAAAATTTCATTTGATGTCAGCTCTGCCAAGGCCAAGAAGGTGGACGACGAAGAGCTCGGCTTCGTGGGAGAGGTCACAGGCCTGCTTGCTTTCTTTGGCGATCGGGGAGTTGTACTTAGCGGAGGCATGTGCCCAAAAGCATTGCATGACAGACAGGTCATGCGAATGGCTTGCAATCGCATTTCTAGACAAGAAATGCAGCAGGAATCTGCAACCCATTGCAGCTGCATCATCTTTGAATCTTTGAAGGCGTCAAGAAGGATGTGCTCAAAGCAGCTTTGGATAAAGGGCCCCGCCCTCGGGCATGGCCCACTTCTGCTTCCTGTTGTATGTTGATCACTGTATTGGCAACTCATTCCTTCTCAGGTTCAAACTTGCTGACGGAGCTTCACCCGACCCCTTTTGCCGCCCCCCCGAGGTTGGTACCCGTTGTTGCCACAGTGGCTGCGGATGCGGAGGGCAACTTCTTGAACGCACCAGCCTCAGATACGGGAAGCAAGTGTTAAGGTACCCTCAATTGGGCTCTTGTTTTTGGACATGCTTTCCACCGTAGCCATTGACACGTCCTTATCAATTGTCAGCAGTTTCCGCCTTCACAATGACGACTCGGACTGCCCGTTTGCACATGTCTCATTAAGTGGATGTGTTAGGCGGGTTTGCCTCCCTTTGCCCCAGCCATTTGCCAACTCTCGCAAAATCAGCGGCTACCTGAAAAGCCAGCAACTGATTTGCGACCCCTTGTAAATCTGCCTGCATAGCCAGCTTTTGCCCATCGCAATCCTATGAGCCCAAGAGATTAGGACTGATTTGGTCAACAGTGATATCCGGGGGTCCATTCTTCTCCTGGCTGTATGTAAGACGCATGTTTAGATCGCTTCGCATCGGTTTTTAGCAGCCGAACACCCAGGTGAACGCGGATATTGCGGCAGCGGCCATCGCAGGAGCGCTGGATGCTGAGGAGTTCGAGCCCTGACTGCAAGAACTTTCAACAGACGAATCCAAAATGGATGGTTGATCAAAAGGTCCATGGGACCATGGGACCAATGGTTGCAAAACCACTAAAAGGATCATATTATCATATCTACCACTGGGAAAAAGTCTTTGGTCATTTGGAGTCCAGGAATATTGATCACCATGGATGGTTAGAACGGGTGCCATCAAAAAGACACGAACTAGGTTTGCAGTCTGGTCAGAATGGTTGGTGAGCAAGCCCCTTTCGGGTTCGATGCTTCCTTTGCGGTCAAGGAAGATGGCCATGGGGATCCTCCCACACAAGCCCCTGTTCAGGGATAGCGAGCTCACGAGCACCTGAGGCTGTTTTGGAGGTCCTTTAGTTAACCCCAGCATCTTATTGGACGGCTTTGAAGAAATGACAAAGGGGATCACCCTTCCTTTCACTAACAAGAGGAGTGGCTTCTTTTGGGTATCTAGGGCCACACCCCTTAGGCCTGGAGACCTTCCAGACTTTGGTCTATGTTTGATTGTCCAAAGATGTGGTCTGCGGGCATATTAGGTGACAAGGCTCTGTGAGTCAGTGAGGTGACAAAAGGCGAGCCAACGTTCGGTCAATCTGATCACCCGCGGGATGTGGAGAATTTCGGCTCAGAACTCGAGAGGTGCTGATGACGGACGTGCCCGGCATCCTCCGTGATGTCAAGGACATGCTTGGCTTCATTTCTGAGCCTGGCAGTGCTTTGGATTGGGACATGGCTGTTTTCCGGTTTTCAAGGTGTGTCTTCTCCATTTGGTTTCAACAGCCAGGGTCTCAAATGCACAAACACAGCTTGAAGCAGCAGATAGGGCTGAGCTAGAGCTCGGAAATGTCCAGGGTGGGTCACGATGCTCTGCCACGATTGCAAACACATTATAGCCTAGTTCCTAAGCGTATTGCGGTAGATGCAGAGTTTCAGTGTGCAAAGCCTATTTGTTCAAGCATTGCAAAGTTTGAGGCGTATCACAGGACGCTTCTTGTCAGAGCATGTTTACACGCGTACGTGACCAGTCAGCCCTGTGATGACCTGTCCACATGCAGGCACATGTGCCATACCAAGCAGGGTCAAGCAGTTTTGGGCTGTTGCCAACATGTGGAAAAGCCAAATTCGTCATACAGTGAACTAAAAAAAACGTGCACCAGTAGATGTTTGCCAGTGTTCATAGGGTTTCATCCAGGTGCAAAGTGGATTTTGTCCGGTAACCCCGATTCTTTCCCTTGTCCAAATGAGGGCTTTGGCTTGCAACGTAACTTGTGCTAGGACGCTGACTCGCTGATCTCCGAGGTAGATGAGGGCGGCGCCAAGAGGACCCCTTGGGCGAAGGAATCCGAAGGGAACCCGAGGTTTCAACGATTTCGCCTTGTTCGAATTTGGGGATTATAAATTCCATCTATATCCAAGGATCCTCGAGTTCGATTTTTGAGATGTCCGCCTGTGATTCACTCATGGTTTGATTGGAGGTGTCCACAACTGGGGAGGCTTTTTGGTCTGGCAGCCTTATATGTTGACCCATTTATATGGGGGAACTTCAAATCTGAGCACGTATGAGCAATGGTCGCACAGCTACTCATCTTGTTGCAAATGGCATTGGGGCGCGCCTTCATCCACAAATGCAAGGCCTCCCAGAATAAGCGACCCTTCCAGTTTGTGCCGTGTCAGGCAGTGAGGCATAGCTGCTTTTGCCCGAGGGTCATCGGCTCACACAATATGCAGTTTCTCGAGCCATTATTGTATCATGCCACAGGCTTATTGACGAGGGCGTGGTGGTCGCTTCCTCAGCTGCAGTGAATCAAAGGTTTGTGTCCCGAGCTATCGTACTGATTGCAGCTCCTTGAGCCCGACGAGCGATTGGCATGATCACATCCGTGAAATGCACCCCGAAGGTGGAAGGGGATACCCGGCTGTGGTGTTTGTTTCTTATGCTTGCGAGGAAAGCGCCGGAATGAATCCTGCGGTCAAACTTGCGATTTGCAGGGTTCGAATTTCCTTGCCAGAGAGTCCGTTGGCAACAGGTCTCCCAAATGAGTCCCAAAGCTGCCATCCCAGCTGGTATTAGATGGCTGAGAGTTCTATCCAGTCGATCATTGCACATGTTTTTTGGAACTCCAGCCTCCCCACAATGGCTTTGGTGGCTTGCGGGTGATATCAGTGATATAGGTGATATCCGAATCTGGCTATTCGCAGCTCGCTCTGGTGAGGCCGGCGGCATGATTCCCAAAGTCACCTGCTGCCTGAGCGCGATCGATGACGGCGCTGTCCTAAGTGCAGACGGAGCGCCCAGGCGAAACGAAGCAGCCGCTGAGTGCTTTTCCGACCGAGGCGTGCAGGCCACGCACATCATCGACGGGCGCCGGCCTCATGCGTTGCTGGAGGCGGGATCGTTTGGCCCGTAGGCTTCCAAGGTGAACCTCAGCTCCACTTTCGGTCGCCCCTCGAAAGGGTGGGGATTTCTGGCCGGAAGCCAGAGCAGATCTGCTTTGTTTGAGCCCACCTAGGCCCAGGACAAACTCGGCAACCACTCGTGTTTGTCAGCCAAAACCCTGAAAAAGTGTTTCAACCTTTCGTTTGTTCGTTGAATTGGGGCAAGCAAGTACACCGACGACACACCGCACATGGAAGCTTGCAGTTGGTTTTCCTCGCGTGCTTCATGTTTGCTTGGACATCTCTTCAAAGGGGAAGTTATGTACCCTTTGAAACACCTGCGCTCGGCTGGTTACTGCAGCATGGGGGTGTCCTACTGTTGATGGAAGAAATCTTGCATGAGTTTATAAGACGACATTTTTGCCACCCCGCGTTCCCTACTTAACATTGAGTTGCGACGAGCAAAACCGCTCAGAGGTTGTCAATGGCCTAAATCTTGCATGACCCAGCCCAACTTGGCCAAACTGAGCACCAATGTTAAGTAGGGGGCGCGGGGCAAGTCGTAACAAGATGGCATGCATCTGTGTCAAAAATGATGCAATATTTCCTCCATCCACCGTATGTTGTTCACTTAGGGGAAAGTCCCAATGAATCCGCCAGGTGGATGAATCCGGGGTCAACATCACGCTTTTAGGGGACATGAGAAAAAGTAGTGTTCGTTCTGTGTTTGTGTGGGACATGCAGTGCCTCAGTGGTTTTGGGTGTCAGGGTACCCTCCACAACGGACAAATGCCGTCACATGCCCATTTGGGCGTGTCCTTTATTCGATCCCCCAAAAATGGTGGATGTCCTTGTAGTTCTCCTTACCAACCCCCAGGTAGCCGCAAAAAAACGACGAGCCATTCATTTCGTGAGGGATTCTCTGTGGAGCTCTCAGGAGCTTTTCTCCACGAAGAGCTCCGGAAAGCAGGGCACCACCATCAGCCACGCCCCCTGGGCGCGGCGTCATCCCGTTGCAAGCAGGATGGGTCCCATGTAACGAACGTTTGGCCACGCGTGGGTCCCTTGCTGGATCGCAAGTTGGAACCTGTTGGGGTGTTGTTGTTTTTTTGCGCTCATGATAGTAGACTGCATACATTTCCGAGGCGGCAATACCAGAGTTTGTTGGATCACCATTTGAAGAGATGTAGTTTGACAGAATTGTGATGACCCAACAGCATTCAAGTCCAAGAAACATTTGGAGGGAGTTTGCATGTTGCGGTCTCTGTTGGACGAAAGCGCAGCCACATACATGTCCCATGTCCTTGTACTGTTGTCATTTCTTTGCAACCTTTCGCAGAGACAAGCCGTAAGCCTTCCCCTGCCTGAGGCAAATGCTGAGCATGCAGCGCCCGCTGGTTAGGCCCTGTTTGACCTGCATCTCCCACTAGCGTGCAGATAACTGATCGTTTGGCCTTTTCGGGCTGTTTGTCCCCAGATAGCTAAAAGCTATAGGGGTTCTAACTTCTAATAAAGAGGGGAACTTGATTTGCGAAAGTAATAAACTAGTACTAAGGGGCGTGCAGATTGGGGTGCTGTTTTGGAGTCCTGTTTGGGGCCCTGTTTGAGGTGCTGATTGCAGTGCGGGCGGGTCTTTGCAAGATTGACGGTCGGGTGCTAGGGCTGCTAGGGGGCGTGCAGTTTGGGGTGCGATTTTGGGGTCCTGTTTGGGGCGCTGTTTGAGGTGCTGGTGATGGTTTTGGTGCATGGAGGTGACGGTGTGGGCACAGTTGTGCAAGATTGACGGTAGTGTGCTAGGGGGTTGCTGGTGCAGGTGGCGTGTTGGGATGCTGTTTCGGGTGCTGTGTGAGGCGCTGGTGACGTTTGGGGTGACGGTGCTGGCGCATTTTTTGGGATGGACGGCAAGGTGCAAGAGGGCATACAGTTTGCTCAGCTGGCGCAGGTGCTGTTTTGAGATGCTGTTTGGGGTGCTGTTAGAGGTGCTAATGATGGCGTGGGCGCATTTTGTGAGATTGACGGCGGTTGGGGGGCTCTTCGCGAGGTGCTGTTGGAGGTGTTGGCTTATGTTTTGCTGTCTGGGGTCTATGCTGGTGTTGTATTGTATCCCTTGCAAATGTATCCCTTGCATTTTTGTGAGATCGATCGCTGGGTGCTAGGCGGCATGCAGTTTAGAGTGCTGGTGCAAATGTTGTTAGAAGGACTGGAGACGGACGGGGGCGCAAGATCGATCGCTGGGTGCTAGGCGGCATGAAGTTTGGGGTGCTGGTGCAAATGTTGTTTGAAAGACTGGTGACGGATGGGGGCGCATTTTTGCGAGATCGCTGGAGCTAGGCGCCATGCAGTTTGAGGTGCTGGTGCAAATGTTGTTTGAGGGACTGGTGACGGATGGGGCGCATTTTTGCGAGATCGATCGCTGGGTGCTAGGCGGCATGCAGTTTGGGGTGCTGGTGCAAATATTGTTAGAAGTACTGGGAACACATTTTTGAGAAATCGATCGCTGGGTGCTAGGCGGCATGCAGTTTGGGGTGCTGGTGCAGATGTTGTTTGAAGCACTGGTGACGGGTGTGCATGTGTGCGTTTGCGTTTTCGCGTGCCTGCGCGTGCAGGCTTGCGTGCGTGCTTTTTTGGTGGGAGGGTGGTGCGATTGTGCGCACGCGCGCGCGCACGCGCGCGCGTGTGTGTGTGTGTGTGTGTGTGTGTGTGTGTGTGTGTGTGTGTGTGCGCGCGCGCGTGTGTGTGTGTGTGTGTGTGTGGGTGCGTGCGTGCGTGCGTGCGTGCGTGCGTGCGTGCGTGCGTGCGTGCGTGCGTGCGTGCGTGTGTGTGTGTGTGTGTGTGGGTGTGTGTGTGTGTGTGTCTGTGTGTGTGTCTGTGTGTGTCTGTGTGTGTGTCTGTGTGTGTCTGTGTGTGTCTGTGTGTCTGTGTGTCTGTGTCTGTGTATGTTTGTCCGTGTGTTTGTGTGTCTGAGTGCTTGTGTGGTCTTGTCTTCCCGAGTTTGTCAGCCTGTAGTTTGGGCTGCTGGTGCAAATGATGTTTGAAGGACTGGTGACGGATGGGGGCGCATTTTGGCGAGATTGATTGCTGGGTGCTAGGCGGCATGCAGTTCGGGGCGCTGGTGCAAATGTTGTTCCCCAGATAGCTGAAAGCTGTAGGGGTTGCGTCATCATGATGCTGCCTGCGTAATGATGATGCTGCTTGCATCATTAAAGTGCTTGCTGCTTACATTACCGTGTTTTCTCATGGTTTCACCATTTGCAATGATGTGCTGCCTACATCATCATGATGCTGCGTACATCATGGCATGGCGATGCACCATCATGATGCTGCCGGTGGGCTTCCATGTGTTTTCGGCATCCTCACTATGGTGTTGTCTTGATTTGTTTTTATGGTGTTGCCGGCATGACCATGCTATTGATCATGATGCTGCCTGCATCATCATGATGCTGCCTGCATCATCGTGACGCTGCTTGCGTCATGACGTGCTCTCGCGGTACTATTAGCATGTTTTTGCCTGCTTCACCATGATGCAGTCTTCATCGATGGCGCTGCTGGTGTCGGTATTATGCTTTGGGCGTTCTCATGGCAGCATGATCAAGGTTTTGTAGGTAACTAGGGGAAAGGGAGGGTGCTGTTTGGGGTACTTTTCGGGGTGCTGGTGGAGGTGCTGGTGACGGCGCGGGCGCGTTTTGGCGAGATTGACGGCAGGCTGCCAGGGGGGTGATTCGTGGTTGTGGCATCATCATGATGCTGCTGAACCCATTCGGACGTTGCTGCTGCCCTAACTGTCGTGCGTAATGGTTCGTGGCTGGTGTATCATCATGATGACAATGTTGTCAACCACGTCACGATGCTGCTGGAATCACTGCCCGAGTTGCGTGGAATCGTTCGTGGCTGGTGTATCAGCATGATGCTGTCAACGTCGCCATTATGCTGCTGAACTCATTAGGACGTTGTCTGCGTTTATTTAGCGCAGAATGCTGAGTGGCTGTGGTATCATCATGATGCTGTCAACATCATCATGATGCCGCGGGAACCGTTATGATGCTGCTTCATGGTTCGTAGCCGTGGTATGCTATCTGGGGTCTATGCTGGTGCATGTACAAGGGGAAAGTGATGTGAGAGATCGATGGGGGGGTGCTAGGGGGCGTGCAGTTTGGGTGCTGGTCTAGGTGTTGTTTGGGGTGCTGTTTGGGGCGCTGTTTGAGGTGCTGGTGAGATTGACGGCCGGGTGCTAGCGTACATGCAGTTGATGGTGCGGGCGCACTTTTGCAAGACGGTAGGGTGCAAGCAGTCATGTAGTTTGGGGTGCTGGTGGTGCTTTGGGATGCTGCTTGGGGTGCTGTTAGGTGCTGGTGACGGCGCGGGCGCATTCTCGCGAGATTGACGGCTGGGTGCTGTTTAGGGTGCTGTTCGGAGTGCTGTTCGGGGTGACGGTGCGGGCGCATTTTGCGAGACTGACGGCCGGGTGCTGTTTGGGGCGCTCTTCGGGGGGGGGTGCTGGTGTGCAATTGTCGGCATGTTTTTCGCTATCTGGGGTCTATGCTGGTGTATTTTCAAAGGATAGTCTAGGTGTTGGCACTTGGACGTTTCAGGGGCCTCATTTGCAACCACAGTGTTTGATGCCCTCAAGGCACATTTAAACAGAACCAAAGGCCCCCCCCCACCCCGATTTTAGGGGGTTCCTGGGGTTCCTTCATTTGCGACATGCACTCTTTTTCAGCTGGGGGCAAAGGTTTGGTGATGTTCATGTGGCTGTGGCTCAAAAAACCGGCACCAAATGGAACCCTGGTAGGTGAAAACATGGACAAACACCTGCGTAACCCCTCCTGTTTAATTTTGAGCCACACCCATGTGTCAACTGAATCCGGAGGTGTGCGTGCGCCCTCCTCAGACTTGCTCATCGCTTGAAGGCTTGTGATGGAGTTGCAAGCCGTCCTATTTTGCCATGAAGGGGTTGCTCACTGCATGTTGCAAATGCACCTAGACTCAGCATCTCAAGATCAGCGCTTCGAGGCCTTGTACGGCTGAATCCATGCTCTGGCGGTTTGTGTGCTTTCTTAACGAGCAACCCCAAGATATCGATTGGCTCTAATGAAAGGGCCTGGCCCTGACAGGAGCATTGGGTCACTCAATGTGGTCATTGTGCATGCTTCTTTTGGCTCAGCCTCAGCTAGATTTGTTTGCGGCCTTCGCAACTGGTGGCGGTATGTTTGACGCTGCAGGCTACTTAGCGCAGAACAAAAATGTGCCTGCGTGCAGTACACTGGAGAAGGCAATGCTGATGGTTCTTGATCGACTCCGGCTCGCCTTGAATGGACCGCTCAAATCAATCGGGAAAAATACTCTACCCTCTCACCAATCAACATGGAACCGGATGTTCGCGACCCGGTCCCTCCAAAAGGAACATGGTCCAAACCAGACCCCCCCGAACGTCAGGTTCCATGTTCACCGGTGGGAGGGTAAATAGACCTTACCTTTCCACAAGGCTGGATAGCTGACAGCACGGTCATGAGTCTGTCGGACCACCCAAGCCTTGTCCGTAAATGAGCAGGGCCCAAAACCCCATTGGCCATCTCATGTCCTTCTACCAGGTTGAACAAGGACTTTTAGGCAAAACAAGGCCTACAAAGACTTTCTAACCATCTCAGAAGCACAAGTCAATGGTTTCTGTGCTCAAACCACCAGGAGTCGGACCGCAGGTTAGATCGTCCCCAGGGCTGCCGAACGGGTTCCCCCCCATTTTGGGGTTCCCAACTATTTCGACCACAGCCAAATGGGAAGCCGCCAGCATTCCAGGACGTGCAGTCGCTCTCCGCCGCGAAGCTCATGGAGGAGATCCACAAGGCCTTTTTGTTAGGTTGTGCCTTGCTTTGGTTGATTTTCTAGACTTTTTTTTCTAGAACGGGGATTTGATTCTCACATTTTCCTTGTAACCAAGATCACCTTTTGGTGCGGGCCATGTCAAAATGAGCTTCATTTTGGTGCGATGCTTAGAGAGTTGAATCGTGGGTCAGTTGTGGCCAGCTGTGGGACGCGTGACGCTTGTTGCATCCAGCCAACTTGCTACCATGTGAACCCCAACCTCACTTTAATGCTCTGCAAGCCCGCCTCGGCCAGGGCCCCAGCACAGGCCACAGACACACGGCACCCTGGTTGCCACCCAGCAAAGACACTAGTCACACAATTGCGGCTTGGGGCAAAGAACATTGAAAACAGCCCAGTTCAATCCGAACTGGGCTTTTTGGAGAAACCTATTTTCTTCGTGCCGCAGGGTGAAACTTAGAAAGCTTGCAGACAACGTCCCCAAGCCCAACACCCAGTGCCAATCCCCAGACGCATAGCATCAAGCGAGCGCCCAACTGCCAATCCCCAAGCACACAACAGCAGCCTGAGGCTCTGAGGCAAGCAAAAACTAAGATAGCCCAGTTGAATTGGAACTCAGCTGTTTTGAACAAGCAGGACTCTCCTGCCAAATCGCAAAACTCATGAGAAGCCTGGAGACATCGCCGTCAGACCAAGCACTGCGCAACCCCAGCTGAAGCTCGACAGCTGAGAGCTTTGCAGACAATGCTCCCCAGGCGAACACCCAGTGCCAATCCCCAGCCATAGCTGCAGCCTGAGGTTGAACTCGGTAGAAGCCGGCCGTTTTGACCAACACGAGGTTCTTCGAGCTAAACTGCAAAGCGCATGAAGCCTAGAGACATCGCGGGCAAACCGAGCAGCGCAGCCCAGGCAAGCAGCGTCAAGCCCCGGACATATCAGCCGCCAGAGGCAAGCGAGAAGCAAAGCCCAGTATGCATTCAATCATATTCAAACTCGCCAATTCCAAGTCGGAATGAGAAAAAAACCGCAGGGGGTAGGGCCTCTAGTACAAAGTCTTATAGCTCGAGAGGTCTCTTCGAGGCTCAAGGGCCTCGGCGGCTTTTTCCAGCTTGCGTACAGGGGCATGAGCTATGCCATGGTCATAGCACTGCCCGCACCATCAAAGTGATTTTCGAAGCCAGCCAGCCAGCCAACCAGCCAACCAACTACCCAACAAACTCACCAGAAGTTTGTGTGTCGCACAAGCATCTACAATAGTACTCCCTTGTAAAATGGATCCGCTTCTCAACTTGTTGGGCTTGAGTGATGCCCATACTGTGGAGGGTTCCTGCACTGGTTTATCAGTTTAGAAGGGTCATGGGCCCAATCATCCTCAGATGCTGATATTAACATGGCATGCAGGGAAACAACCCCAAACCGAGGGGGGAAACGCAACAATCAAAGAAAGGGGTTGCCAGAGAAGCCAAAAAACTTCAAAACCCCATGGAAAAGGGGACCGGACTCTTCAGCGCGCCGTTTTTTTCCAATGCTGTGCCCATGTGGCAGTCCTGAGCTCCAGGGGATCTCAGACGGCGTCGCTCCAGTCTGTAAAGTTTTGCTGTAGTTATGGGCGTTGAAGTGCTGTTAGACACCATGAAAGCACGCACATATTTTTGTTTTTGAGGGTTTTGACTCACAAGTTGCAGCGTTGAGAGGGAAACCAACCAGAGCCAGCAAGGATAAAGCGGATGATGTGGATGATGCCCAGCGGATGACGGCCAAGCGGATGACGGCCAAGCGGATGACGGCCGAGCAACCGCAACATGTCCCACAGACGGCTCGACGAGCCCAATCACTTGCTTACCAACACCTTGAGGGAACCACCCCACCCTCACTACGGATCCCAACCATTGCCTCTCACGCCACGCATGTTGCATTTTGCTTCCCTGAAGGTCAAGCGCTCCTGGAGTGACGAGCGTCCCACACTCGGCACAAATTATCCTTCTCTTGCCAGCGCTTGGTGCTGTTGTCTTGACACACTTCGATTGAGTAAACAAATGCGGCCATCTCTCATCACGTTGACGTCGGAAGGACCAGTCACCTAATGGATGACGACGTGTCAAAACCATGTACGTCTGGTTGGCTTCCCCTTACGGTCCAAAAAGCAGACCCCTCTGTCGAGAACCCCCCACATGTGTCCCAAAAGGGACCTGGAACCTCCAACAGTTGATTCTCGTGGGAACCCCACCAATAAATTGATCAACGTTTGAAGGAGAAATTGGAAATCCACAAAGAACAGGGGTACAACAAAAAGACAGACCCATTTTTTTCAGGGACTCACAGGCGCCATCACCGCGTCGCCATAGCCGCTGGCTGACTTGCTGAGGGGACGAGCTGCGGAGCCAAACGGAGGCCTTGAAGCGGCAGGCCATGCGCCTGCAGACGGAGCAGGTGGGGTCGATATCCTTTCGGATGAAGATCATAGGTATCCTTTGTAGGTGAGCTTGGGTAGAAATAGATGGGTCCACTGGTTTTATTGCAGGGCCATCTATTTTTCGAAAAGGGCATATGCGTAGGTGGGTGGGCGGGTGGGTGGGTATGTTTCGTTGGTTCCACGCGTCTTGGTCTTCTCTTGCTTCAAATTCACATCTCGAAAATAGCTTGCTCCATGCCCCAACTGGGAAATCATGTGCCAGTTGAGGGGACATGAGGGGACCCCAAAATGGCGGGTACCAGCCACAAAAGTTAGACACCCGCATCAATTTTGCAGTTGAAGGGAGCCAAGACCAATCCAAACCAGCTGGGGAGCTGACAATTCTCAAAGGGGAACCCGTATGTCACCTTCCGTAATTTGGTCTATTTGCCATGTTCTTTGTGGATGGATGTCGCACTTGCAGTGTTCAGAAAATCCATCATATTGGCAAACGGCCTAGGGAGGGAACGCACCACTTCCCAGAACGGCGATTCGGCTGATGTCGGCGGTTTGCATTTTTCTCATTGCATTGGTTTGTTGCTTTTTCGGCGGGTTCGGCCTGGCTGGGTTGGAGGCATTTTTGTATCTGTTTGATGTATGATTTTGAGGCTCGGAGCTGTTCCAGCTGCGTGCCTTGTGTTTGTTTGCAAAGACTTACTGCATGGGTGAAGATATACGCAGATGCGAAGAGCCACACTCTCATGCACACAAGCGCCTTTGTTTCAGTTTTGTTGCAAGCACGAAAGAGAAAAAAAAACACTTCTTGTGGCCTCAAGACACCTTCCAAGTCGTACAGATAGCGTGTTGCCTTTTCCGCTAGTCCCAGGGAACTTGCTGCTGGTTTCGTCCTGACTTCAAACGTGTACGCATGTGTATTGGGATGCGTCTAAGAAAAACACGCGTTTGGCTATATGCTTGGGTGGAGATGCAGGGGCGTTTTTGTTGATGCATTTTGCTTTGGCTTTCTGCATTCCAAGTAAGCCCAGGCCGGTTCCTTCAGTCTGTGGGATGAGTGTTTGGCCTGAGACATTGTTTCTCGATCATTGGCAGTCGGGTGTCGGTCACAGGTTTGAAAGGGCTTGACGAGCTGACACATTTGTCTTTTCAGAGACTCGACTTGAATTTCTGCGCCGCAACTATTCAAAGGATTGTGACATCTCGTCTTCGACTGGGACGGAAGGTCAGCCTGCCCTCTCCGCGACACGTAGGCCGTCGGCCGTCGGGGTGCAGTGGCTCCGTTTCGGGCTGGTTCGAGACTGGGGGGCGCTGCGAGCAGCACCTGCGAGGGCAGTTTGGTCTTGGCAGCTCGAAGGTACCAATGTTTCATGCTGTTCAGCTGATTCATTCGGTTATTCCATTAGGACAACAGAGCCATGCCCAAGACTAAGCAGTGTGTTGCTCGACTTAGCAAAGCTTTTCGCCTTTTGTGGGCGTCCGAGTCTGGTCACGCATCCAACACTTTGCTGACTGGTCTCAGTCATCGTTGCGGTGACCAGTGACCAGGGAAGCTGCATGATGTGATCCCATGCGGAGGAAACGCAAGTCGGGTCCAGCTCAAACCTATGCTTTTGTAAGTAACACAACTCGCTCCTTTATCATTTGCTTGTTTTTTTGGTATGCGTAAGACACTTTCCCTTGCAGGTCTGCAAGGGGCAGTTCTGCAAGGGGCAGTTCCCGTAGGTTTCTCGTGGTATAAGC